CATGCATTCTTTGTTGTTTAAAAAAAACTCGAAATTCTTTATACAACCTAACAAAATACAAATTATGTATTACTAAATCAGTTTCTTCTTTTGCCTCACGTATAGCATACTTCTCAAAATTCTCACTTTGCTCTTTATGCCCAGTTGGAACATGATAATAATTGAAATAATCTTTTGAAAGATTATTTCTATAACTAATAAGAACTTGTTTGTCTTTTGATATTGAAACCACCAATAAAAATTCATGATATTTATTCTCATATTTGAAAAGTACCTCCTTTTGATTCTTTTTTAAATTTGACTAAACAACAAGCTGAGCCTCAATAGCATTTTTAGTTTTAGCAATTAGAATACTATATTGTTGTAATAGTTTAAGTTAAGCTAAAGCTGAGAGATATTTTTCTTCAAGATCACATATAAAGGTATAATTGCTAACATACAAATTATATTCGTCTTCTATTATTAAAGATAAAAATCACACAAATAAATTTTGCTTGGTATTTATACTGAACAGAAATATTTAAAAAATAAAAATAAATACATTTAAATAATAAAATTAATATTATAATAAAAAAATTAAAAATCATCATCCATTTGCAATTCATTATCTGACCAAACAATTTTAACATCTCATACTATACCTGTATGAGACGCTATATATTTTTGTCTAAAACACTTTTTTACATTATCAATTTGAGAATATTTTTCAATAACATGATCAAATATTCCTTTTTGCTGAATCTGAGCTAAAATTTCTTTTGATTGTTCAGGTGAATTATTTGATATTATTGTAATAGATGATAGTATTGTTGTTTCTGATTCAGATTTAAAATCTTGTTCATCATATAGATAATGATTACATTTTTTACAGAACTTTTCCTTTCAAAAATGATTACATTGATCATAAAAAAATAATGGTGGTGCAGTTATCAAATGAATATATGGACGAGAATCAGAATAATTCACTTGACTTGTAGAATGATGAGTTCTTCAAACCATTAATATTTGATTCTTTATCGTAACATTTACTGTATAAAAATTATAAAGTTCTGGACCAGAATATATTAAAAATTTGATATTATTTTGTAATTGTTTCATATTAATTTAAACAAATAAATTTCTACTTGGTCTAATTGAGACTAAATAGAATAAATAATATAAATAATAAAAATAATAATAATAACAATAATAATAATAATAATAAAAATAACATTAAAATTATTTGTTTTGTGGTTTTGACTTCTTTGGCACCAATTTTTGATAAAAATGCTCTAACTTATTAAAAGCAAATTTTGCACCAGTCTTTGGTCCTTGAAATACTTTTTCTTTCCATTCTTGAATCTCATCAAAATGTTTGTGATCTTTTTCTTTTGGAATTATTCTTTTAATACGAATGAATATAGTTTTTCTTGCTTTATAATAATTTATTAAATCAATTACAAATTGTACATAATCGTTAAAATTTGGAAACGCTTCTTTTAATACAGCTTCATCAACCTCATTGTTAAGCTTCCAATTTGCTAATTCGAGATAGTAGTTATAATCTTTTTTAACAATTATTGTATCAGTTACTAAAACTTCTGATTGAGATTGAGATTCTTTCGATTAATTAGATTCTAGATGTAGTGTAGTTAGATATAGTAATTAGATTCTAAACATACTGCAGTAGTTAGTAGTTAGATTCAAAATGTATAGTAGTTATAGTAATTAGATTCTAGATATAGTGCAGTAG